CCAGCCAACCATAATCTGCTTATTCAAAGAGAAGAAAATACAAGCCTACCTGAAACAGGAGCTCCCAGGCAGATGCACTGACAGCGGACAGTCACATCGCAGCAGCACTCCCAGCAAATGGGAGGAGAGATGAAACGACACATCAAGGCAAATGCTGACTCAGCGCACATGTTCTAGTAAAATCATTGAGTAATCTAATCGTATGCAGTCAGTGAGCACATCTGTCTGCACAAACAGCAGGGACCAGACAGGACGCCATCCCATCCAATTTTTTCTTGCCATGCTTTCAAGCTGCAGACACAGAGCATCTTACACTGCAGGAACTTCAGTGCTTGTCTGCATTTACAATAGACTTTTAGATAGAAAGGATTCAGAAATAGGTAAGCTGCCTTGTTTCAAGCAGAGCACACTTTGCAAATCCAAAGCAGAGCACTCTTACTGCTCCCTTTTCCAATTAACTTCCACGTACTCACCTCTGTGCAAACTACTCCTCATCAGCTGCTCAGGAGCAACAGCACAGCATCCTCTTCCCTGCTCATTTATCCTCCTGCGCAGAGAAAGCAAGACATAATTAAACATGTCCTAATAGAGGACAGGCAGGCTGTGGTGGTGAAGTTAGTTTTCTTCTGTTAAATATGACTGTCTTTTATAGTGACACTGATGTAGGCGAGGCATGGGAGAGATCTGTCTTCTTACTGCAGATAAATGCACACATTAGCGTAAAGTACAAATGTTCATATGTAGCTATTATTTGCACTAGAGGAGTGTCCAAAGGTAGCTTACACTGGATTTTGAAAACATTTGGGCACTTACTAGCTTCATGAACATCAACGCAAGGTATTTACGGCAGCGGTGGAAGCAGAGCAGCTTGTGTCACACCTTCAAGGAGGTGCCAGGTCAGGGCAGTGTCCCTGCAGCCCCATCTCTGCATGGCCAAGGGCCTGTTCCCAGCTGCATGTGCCTTAGCAGCTAGAGGGGTAAAGCGACTCCATCTGACCTGCTCTGCCAAGCAAGGCTGACCAACACCTTACCCACTGCTATGGGTGTCTGGCTATGCCACAGAGAGAGCAGGTACATGGCTCTCTCCTTTTATTTCTAATGGGCCCACTAAATGTTTAGCTTTACCATGCTCTTTATTCTGGCACTATAATTTGGTGCCAGGTATAAAATGAGCAGAAATTCCATAGGAATGTAGAAAACATCACCCGTCAGGAATGACTGAAAAATACATATGGTTATTTTGTCATTTAAAAAAAAAAAAAAGGAAATAGGCAGAAAGTCTTTTTGCATAGGACAAGAACTAATCATCTTAGATAGTATCAGGAGAGGTAAAGATCAGACATTAAGGAAGCTTCGTAGTGATAAACGGTTAAATGTGGATTAGATTCCTGCAGAGGCTGGAATTTTCCTGATGATGATTTTCAGGAGCAGGTTAAGCATAGCTTTTTCAGCAGTTTTGCAGGTCATACTGGTCCAGACCTGGTAATTTTCTAGGTCTTTTCCAGCTCTCTTTCCTGTGATTGTCTATATTGCAGTATCACCTAGCTTTGCTGTAGCTCAGCTGGGGATTCTATTACACCTAGGAACCATAATAAAAGGACTTTATCATCATTTGGAGATACGTTCATCTTCTCTGCTAATCACCATTAGCGTTGCAATTCCAGTAAGTTTGGAATAGTCCTGGACTATCCAGGAAGGAAAAAGCTTTTGTACAATGATTTTATGATTCATCCTAAGCATAAAGAAAAATAATTTAATAATTTATAAATGTGTAGCTGTTTACACAATGACAGATATTTCATCTCTCATGTCTTTTTTTCATCATACGATAAATTAGCTTGATGCTTGCTCTAGCTCTTTGCTTAGCTTTCTTGCAGTGAATTATCAGAATCCTCTTTCAAAGGGCTGTGGTAGGCATCTATTTTCTTTAATGTCTTCCTGCCTGTTAATAGATTTGAGTAGAACCAAGCCAGGACCTGCCTTGAAAAAGGCCTTTTCCCACGTCACTGGTCTGTGAGCAGCAGTGAAGTGCCACCGGGTTTGTAGTCCCCTGGAGTCTCCCAAAGGACTTTAGGGTTGAAAGCCTGCCAATCACTTTGCTCTTCAGATCAGTTCAGGAGATATGTTGAATCACCGGGACAAGTAAAATCTGTCAGGCTCTTCTTGAGTAATGACAAGATATGGACAGAAGTAACTTGTGACTAGTGACAAACAGTAGTAGCCAGACTGGGGAAGAAGTTGGTCAGTGCTGTGCAGCTGCAGTTTTCTTCCTGCCAGCAAAGGTAATGCCTTTTGTAGACCAAAGCACAATGTTTTTCTTAAGCTTTAGCTTAAGATTTTCAGCTTCCATTGCCTCAGTTTTCCTCTGAAGGCTTTATTATATGCCATGGTCTCCTCTTGGTATAACCAACAGTCTGGAGAAAGCAATCTGTGTTGGTGATCCATCTGCCTCACACTGCATAAGACCCAAACTTGTACTTAAACTTACCACTGTCCTACTGTGAAGAGTTTGTTGTGTTTGTTGTTTTTTTTTTCATTTGTCCTTGCCATCCATACCAATTAACCCAGCTTCAGGCTCAATCAAGTTTTCCAATCCGTCTTCATGTCTTCTTTCTGATTATCTTCTAGAGCAGATGATGTACACAAACACAAAACCCTGCTCAGGAAAAGCTCCAAACTTCCCTCCCAGGTGTTTCAAATTGCCAAAGACCTTCCTGTTTGCTTTTGTTTTGGGTGGAGGCTCATGCTCCTGTTTTGGTCCCTTGTTCTACTGCTTACCTAAAAAACTTTTTATGGCTCTCTTACAGGAAGGCTGCAATCACCAGTCACCATGGGGTCAAAAGCAAACCCTGATGGCATTACTGAAGCTGGGACAATCTAGTCACCCCATGTTGGGTCACTGGAATGTTGTAAAGAGGCTAGAAAACTACTGGAAATTATCTGCCTTGCACAACAACATCACATTCCTCAGCTCCTGCATCTGTTTCTTTTCTTCCAGTTTGGTGTAGTTTGTCTGGGAGCCACTTACGGCTTCTTGCCTGTTGCTCACACTGATAACATTCCTTGGCCTCTATCCCTAAGCCTGTATTTAGAATAGTTTTTTTGCTATGCTGCTTTTTATTTGCAAAGAATGTGCACAAAAGCCTCTTTTCCCTGTACCTCCAGCAAGCAGAAGAAAACAGACTGCTTTACTCCTAAACTCTGCTTGATCCATCTCTCTCCATAGTCTCTGTTCAAAAATTGGCTGGGTAAGTTCATGAGAGAGAGGACCATTCATGGACACACAGTAACCACATCCATCTCAGGAAGACCTTGGTCTGCAAATAGTTGGAGGCTGGAAAGATGTCAGTAAAAGTGCCACATTTCCATGCCCTGCTCCTTTACTCTTCCATAGGCCTCAGTTTCTGGCATTTCCTGGGGACAAAATGCTGGGCTGACATGTTTTGACCCTCCTAAGTTCTTGCTCCCTCACAGAGGTGTAGGCAGCTGCTTTTGCCACTCTCAAATCCTTTTCATATGCATGTGTATAACTCAAGATAGCTGCAAAGGCTGACCTACTGCAGTCCATTGCTTGTCAGTGGATGCTGAGGCTTCTCCAAGTAAGGCCTTGCTTGAGACATGACGTGCAATTGGTGTCTCAGGTAGTGGCTTCTGTTGCTTCAGTGATAACTAAACAGCATAGGAGTTCAGGCTATTCCTGGTGGTTAGCCTGAACAGACCACAGGGAAACACACTACACTCCTCAGCAGGCTCTGAGGTTTCTTACATGCCAGGCCTGCTGCATCCAGCATGAGGCCACCACGTTCTATAAACAATGCCACAGCTCTTGAGTGACTTGGCTTCTCTGTCAGAAAGTAGTGGCCAAATTCTCGTGCCTGTATTCGGACCATCTCAAAAATTTCAGCCAGGCCATCTCATAGTGGAAGTAAGACTTTTTCCAGGAGCATTAGCTGTGGGATCTCCAGAGTTATAGCCATATTAATCATGAAGTCCCCAAGAAACTGCCCTACCCCATTAAATACACTGGCATATTTTTTAATAAGGTCACCTGCCTTGTGTCGGCTGAGATGGAGTAATTCCCACTTTCATTACCAGTTTGATCAATTTAATATCCAACCTGCTTGGGGACTGAGCTCTAGTGATGCTGCTGTGTGTACAGCATGAATTCTGTGGAATTTTACACCCTACTCAATTGGGTCTAAAAGTACACACCATGTCTGTCCATATCATCCTGCTTTACCTTCCTCTTCAGGAGCTATTGCTGAAGCCTCTGAAGGTTCTCACCTTCATCTGGGAACTGACCACTTCCATGGGGACACCAGGAGGATGGTACTCTTCCTTTTGGCTGCCTGATTCTTAAGTATCATATCTCACACCTTGGTTTCAGTTGCACAGGCGCCGGGCTCACATGTCAGCTCTTTGTGGAAAAGCTGTCACAGGCCACTGTACTTGTCCCCAAGCAGCCTGTCCTTGCCATTCACCAGCCAGCATGTTCTGTCACGTGCTGACGACCTGCACGGTGGCTGCAAGGCCAGCAGTTGCTCTGGGACTTCCAGAGTAACCTCTGTGCTGTCCTATCTACCCAGCTTTTGGAAAAAGAAAACAGTCCTTTTGACTGTTCTTATGCAACCACTTAAAGCCAAACAGTTGGTGTTTGTTTCATTTTGGGTGGTTTGTTTTTTCCAGTTACAGCCGTGGAAAATTCCTGTTACTGACTCTTTTGGGCTGAGCTTTGGTTCTTTGTGATACAGCTGGTTCAGAGGATTTCCCTCTGGGTAACAAGAAATGGCAGCATGGCCAAGCCATGAAGAGCAGATGGGTGATAGATATTCTCCCAAAACCCAGACCAGACCGATGTAAATCTTGCAAGTTTTCAGTGGGAAAAGACTCTGTATTTTTGCAGATTATTTTTCCCAAGGGTGTTCTGCACTGCTTGCCTAACGTTTGAGGGTTTGGGGAGCATTCTGGTTAACAGCATCTTAGGAAAAAAAAAAAAAAAAAAAATTAAAAATGGCCAGAGGAGCTCATTAAGGAGACCACAAAATGAGTAATGTACTTAGTTCTGCAATCTAGAGGGCAATAATGATGCAAACTTCTGCCTACTAAAACACTCAAGAACTTATACTGAAGATGAAAAAAAAAAAACCCAACAAACAAACAAACAAAACCCCTGCAAACAACCAACTTTAAATACAAGCAGGATTTAGGACTTACTGGCAGCTCTTGTCTGAAATGAGCTGTGTACCCCTCAGTTGAGCACCCTGTGCCCTCGTTAAACACTCACAGCCTTCTCTGCAACACCTCGGTTACCAGCAAGCTGGTGCAAGTGATCAATCCATGCTACATCAAATCCACCGATAAATTGGATATGATCCCCAACCACCCGGTTTCTGCCCGGGTTTAGGCCAACCTGTCGAGCCGCGGATGAAGCAAAGATGAAGATGAAGCCAAGGTGGGTGCCCGCTCCTCCAGACGAGCTGTCATTTGTCCCCTGTGCCACTGGATGGCAATGCTGGCTAAAGTATCGCTGAGGTTTCGCGGCCGCTGGCGGAGACCGGGGTGAGGTGGTGGGGGAGGAGGAGGAGGAAGAAGAGGAGGAGGAAAAGGAGGGTTGGCAGCGCCGACAGAGAGGATAAGGGCAGGAGGACACGGGCGTGCCGAGTCGGTGGGAAAAGCGTCCAGCTGGGGCATCGCATCCCTTTGCTTTCCAACCTGGCAGGAGATGCGCGGCTCACGGGGAGGGGGTGGCTTCTCAGGACTCCCAGATTTTGAGGACTCGGATGGCGGAAAGTTAATATTTGGTGTTAGGATTTTCAGCGTAGGAAAAGGTTGCCGGCAGGCGTGACTGAGAGTGACGCTCTGGCACAGCCTGCTAGAAATTGCCCAATTTTTAGACTTAAAAACTGTACTTAGACTTTGCAAAAACGACTTTGTAAGCACGGCATTGCTGGGCTCAATGACTATTCAGTGAACTCATTTGAATGTGCATAGACAGGGCTTGCTTGAACTGCTGCATCAAAGAGAAATGCTGAAATGAGTCATTTGTGAATCACGGCTTATTTTCTGTTGTTAGCTCATCTGGAATCCCATGGTGATCAAACAGCCTTTTACAATGTGTTAATACATCGCTACTCCATGTGTTTAGCAACAGCTCAGTTCCAATAAACTGTAGGTAGTCGCCCATTATAAAGAGGTAGTGTTTTCTGCTGCACGTCGGCTGGGGCAAACTTGAAGATGAAAACGCATGCAAAATGTAATGCTTTTGCAAACACTCTTTTCCACACTCTTTTCCACTCTGATTTCATACCTGCTTTCTGTGTCCTTGCTTGCAGAGCACAGTCCGGCCACAAGAGCTTGCCTGTGAGGGCAAGGGCTCCAGTTCTCCAAAGAGGGCTGAGGGCAGTTTTTCCAGCAGGAGCCAAGCCACTTTCCAGAAACAGGGATGGAAGGGAGACAGAAAAGAAAACACCTTCAGCAGCAGCTTAAGGTAAGGCCCTGGTGTCTAAGTTGGTGGCTGTCCTCATCCTACACTTTTGGCTCCATGGGCTGGAGATCTTGGGCCAGACTACAGTCAGATTGAAAAATTAATCTTAAATTTGGAAGGGAGGGTAATTACTCCTTCCCTCAAACCCCCACCCTCCCATGGTGATCAAACAGCCTTTTACAATGTGTTAATACATCGCTACTCCATGTGTTTAGCAACAGCTCAGTTCCAATAAACTGTAGGTAGTCGCCCATTATAAAGAGGTAGTGTTTTCTGCTGCACGTCGGCTGGGGCAAACTTGAAGATGAAAACGCATGCAAAATGTAATGCTTTTGCAAACACTCTTTTCCACACTCTTTTCCACTCTGATTTCATACCTGCTTTCTGTGTCCTTGCTTGCAGAGCACAGTCCGGCCACAAGAGCTTGCCTGTGAGGGCAAGGGCTCCAGTTCTCCAAAGAGGGCTGAGGGCAGTTTTTCCAGCAGGAGCCAAGCCACTTTCCAGAAACAGGGATGAAGGGAGACAGAAAAGAAAACACCTTCAGCAGCAGCTTAAGGTAAGGCCCTGGTGTCTAAATTGGTGGCTGTCCTCATCCCACACTTTTGGCTCCATGGGCTGGAGATCTTGGGCCAGACTACAGTCAGATTGAAAAATTAATCTCCTTAAATTTGGAAGGGAGGGTAATTACTCCTTCCCTCAAACCCCCACCCTTTTTTTTTTTTTTCTTTAATGAACCGAATCAGTCCAGCAGGTCTACAAAAAAAGTTGACAGGAGTTTGAGGAAGAGGGTGTGAATCCCTTAAGGCTGCTATTGTCATTGAACTCTCCATGGTGTGAAACCACAGCCTGAGGTGCTGAGCTTCTCCCCTGAGCGATTGAGGCTCAGGAACAAATTCCCTTCTGCCAGCTCTTTTATTGGAGTGAGCGGCTGGAGATGGAAACATCTTCAGCCAGCACAGCAAGCTTCACCACAACCCGTCTGTCAGTGCCCTAAGCCCTGTCTGCTTGTATGAGAGTTACGTGGCCATAAAGGCCAAATACTCTCTGCCATCAACTACTTCGGCTTCTTCTGTCACACATAATTGTAGCTTAAAGGTCCTGAGTAATTGCATTCATATTGGGCCTGATCCAGCCTTCAATAACAGTCTTAATAATGCTGCTCTTAACCAGCCACATGAATCCCTTTCAATCCCCAACGCAGGCTCAGTCATGCTGTAATTCAGTAGAGGAGGCCATTCACTGTGGGGCTAATTTAGTTTAAAATGCAGACAGCCTATTTATGGGACAATTTTTTGTTCCTGCTCTAAATTCTTATGCTCAATCAACAGCCTGTAAACCGGGTCAAGCCAACACATGACCCATTAATGGAAGCAGTTGGGGCTTACAGCCCTTAGGAACTGTATTTGTGCTGTGCTTCCTCACAAGTGGGACCCATCCCCTATTCAGCCAATGGGTTCTGTTGTAGGGGGAAAACATAGAAAGCTTTTTCCTGCACTGGAAATCAATTTCATATGATCATGGTTGAGTTTGACCCCACACTGGCCCGCATGATTAGCCAAAAGCTTTTGCAACCAATGCTTGCCATCCAAAACGAAGGAGCAGCACTTTCCCCTCTGCGTGGGAAGAGCACGAAATGGAGGTAAGCAAAGGAGCTTCATTCTGTTGCAACAAAGATCATCCTCTCACCATTTGTGCTGCTGGGAGTGGCATTCCCAAGAAGACAGGGGACAGTTTTCCACCTGGGGAGGCTCCACGTGAGCATTGGACTGTGAAGAAATCTCAGATTCCTTAATGGGTCTAAAAGAAGATTAAGAAGTAGCTTATTCACAAGGTTTGAAACACAACCCAGAGCATGCAAGACCAGCCAGGTGGGAAGACATGCTAATATCTAGCAGGGATATATCTAATATCTAAGCAGCAAGGCAAGTGTCTTGGGTCCTTACTTAGGACAATTCCCCTGATTTATGCAATAGCCCCCTCCTTCTCCCCCTTTTTTTTTTTCCCCAGGGTCATATTTAAGATAGCAGCCTGACTTCAGCTGTGTGCCTTACCAGGAACTTTGGTGGGGCAACCCAATAGTGTTTGAGAAGAGGGGAAGGGTGGAAACAGAACAAGTGAGAGGGAGGGAGAGAGGTGAGAGATGCCTTTTGGGACAGTTTCCTCTGGTGTAGGGAGTTGTGGCCTTAGGGGCCAAATTTACCTGTGACAAGGGAGGCTGTCCTGGAAGAGCTGGTGAAAGGAATAATAAGCACTCCAGGTGGGAAACAAAGGCAGGGCAACCACCCACCTATAAATATAGGCAGGGCAGGCCTACGCCTCCATTGCCTACAGCTGGGGCCATCTGTCTAAAGGCAGGGAAGGGTGTCAGGAGAGGAGGGCCTGTTCCAGGTTAGTGAGGTTAAGTGTAAAGCAGGTCATGCTGACTCTGGGGCAAGTGATAGCCTGTCTGTATTTGCATGCCATATTTTTCCAGTGACACTTTGCAGAGCTTGTGTGTGTTTTCTGAATAATCCCAGACAAACACTGCACCTCTCAGACATGCATGTACATTATATGTTTTGAAAAAAGTACTGACAGTGGAAAGACAGGGTAGAGGGCAAAGACTTGGGAGACTCTCTTCTGAGGAGCCCATTTATACCAGGACCTCCAACAGAGTAAATCTCACCAGGACTTGGCATGGCTGAGTTTCCTTCCTCTTTGTCCAGATGTCTCACAATGTCCCTATACCCTTAGGCAACTCACTTCAGTCCTTTGTGTCCCAGTTTTCTTGAAGATACAGGATAAAAAAATGCCACGTACCTCACAGAAAATATTTACAGTTCCTTTTAGGATTTTTCTGTGTTTTTATGCTGAATTTCCTTGTCTTTGCCTTTGAGAAGCACAGAGGCTTATGTTGCAGTCCTGATTCAGAGTTACAGACATGTTTCCTACAAGGACACTATTGCCTGTCCGTTTGTAAATTTAACCCCTTGACAGCCTAAGGTATTTCAAATGCTTGATTTTCACTTCTTTTCTGTAAGGCTTTTTCCATGTATATCAGGAGATACAGGGATGTAGAGAAGATTGTGGTAAATGTAATGACTGTGGAAGTAGTGCTTTAAAAACATTAGTAATTTTGGATAAAGTTGCCAAAGAGGGCAATTCTGGTGTCCAAAGGAGGATAGGTAAGGAGGGGGAAATCTCATAGCTCAACTTATGGTCAGTCTGATGGGTGGTGTTGTTAGGGCTGCCCTTGCAGAGCTCGCCCACATTCACTCATGGTTTTCTGGTGCTAGGTTGAAGAAATAAAAATCTGTGCTTCTTCTGCCGTGGAATTTCCCGAAGAGGAGACACACAGGGGCGCCAAAGACTTAGGAAAAGAAACCTAAGCCTGAGATACTTTTTTTTTTTTTTTCTGCAGGGTTACTTTCTGGGCAGGCTCCTCACTCCCTGAACTCGGGCAGCGGGCAGAACTCTGCTCCGGAGCGGGTAGTGTTAAGGGAGCAGTTGATCAGCCAGGGCCTGATTTCATTTGCAAACGCGCTGGAGCTTCGCAATCGTTTACACCGGTGTAAAACAGGCTGGGCGGCTGCTAATAACCCTGCACCTCCAGCAAGGGGAGTCCAGAGGAGCTGCTGCTCCCGAAGGAGGAAGGCTGCACCCCCAGCTGGGGGGGGCCCCAACTCCAGCAGGAGGCTGATGTGTCACTTGGTCCTTCTGGCACAGCACTCCCAAGCACAGCCTCAGACTCAGGCCAAACGAATTTCCCGACTAAATTGGTTCCAGGAGGGTAATACCACCCTTCGGAAAATAACAGCTTTGCTGAATAATAAAAAGTTGCTGAGTTACTGTTTGCTTTCCTGCGTGTGATGCTAAGGGTCTGAATCTCTGGTGGGTCAGTTTGTTCTTATGACCTCAATCTGGTGTGATGGTGTCTGTGGCAGCTGTAATGGTCGCTAAGGTGTAAACCCCTTGGACAGCTGTAATGTGGGTGCAGCTCAGCTGCAACCTCCATCCTCCAACCACACCCTGGTTTCCCTTTGACATAGGGAGGAGGCTGGTGTAGGAACAATCACGTCAGCTCTTGACTGTCATTAGATTATACATATAGCGGGCTGGTATTCCTTCAACAGCTATATGGAATGATTATATACAGTATTACTCAGTGCGTGGCCTGCTCTTTCATGCACTTCCAGAGGTTTTACTCCATAGCTGTCAGGGAGGCAGG